ACACTTGTATATGTGCAAAATTCCAAATCCAAAAGGTCCAAGGACTTTGGATAAGGGATATTCTACATGTGGTATTAGCCTGTAATCTCAGCACTCAGGAAGCTGAGGCAGGAGGATCACTGAAAGTTCAAGGCTAGCACAGGCTACATAGTAAATTCAAAGCCAACCTGAACTATGTAGCAAGACCCTATCTCAGGAAATTAAAAAAAAAAAGTGGTACTAACAGACAATGTACTCATGGAAATATGACCATAATGCATTAAATGTAAAAAGTAATGCTCATAACAATTGTTTGGGCTACTGCATATAAAGATTTGCAAATACACTTATAAAGTTTGGAAGGATGCACATAATTATAGCACACACGAGAGGAGAAGGAAGGAGAGTAAGAGATTTTAACTTTGTACTTTATATAATACAGTGTAATTTCTCATTATATTGCATTGCTTGTATAACAAAAATTTAAAATTGCAGAACACAGGTCTGGGGATATACTCAGAGGCTGGGGCCACTAAGCATGTGTGAAACTCTTCTGGATTTGATACCCAAAACTAGAGGAAAAACTGAGGAACACAATCAGGTACAGCTATCTATATTCTTTTTTTTTTTTTCCTTTGGTACTGGGGATCTTACTCGGGACCTTGTGCTTGCGCAGCAGGTGCCATAACCACTGAGCTAAATCCCCAGCAACTATCCATATTCTTAGAGTTAAAAATTTAACAAATTATAAATTGTAGATAACTACAACTAATAGTAACATTTTCAACATTTCTTTTATGCATACTGAAGGATGATGCACAAAAAACCTAATAAACCTAAAGTATGGAAAGCTCTTTTTGTGTCTTGGCTGGTATTTGTTTCCATTTGGTAACAGAAAGCCACTGATTTGCCTCCACAGCATAAGAAACAAGTTTGCGTTTTAGAAGCTCTTCACTCTTTAAATATTTTATTGCTCCTAACCTAATGAAGTAACACAATGAATAAAGAATACGTAATATATGAAATACATTAACTATTAACGGGTCACTTCAAGTAGAATAGCCTTTCACAGTCTAATTTTTGGCAAGAAAACCAACTCTAAAAGAAAAAAGTAATACAGTGCTAGTTGTTGAAATCTGAATTTTCTCTACCTAAGCTCCACTATTTAAACAATATAAAAACAAACTGTGCCAGGCCATTCATGCCTATAATCTGCACTCAGGAGGCTGAGTTCAATTTTAGTGTATATGCTGCTGAAGCAACCACAGGATAATGAGTTCAAAGCCAGCCTGGGCTACACAGTGAGTTCAAGGACCCCCGCCAGCACACAGGAGGAGGGCCGCTCCCACTGCACAAGAGGGGGCTTCCAGGCTGCCATACCACCCCCACCAGGACACAGGAGGTGAGCCGCACAGGCCCCAGCATCACTCCACCCCACCCCACCCCCACATCAAAATGATGAAACATGTAAACAAGTCTCAAAACCAGACTTCCAGATCCCTAGAGCAACCCCAAAAGGAAACAAGATGGAACACTCTCATTCATACTCAACCACCTGGACTCCCTGAAATGGCAATAAAAGAAGATCTGGAAAAAATGAAATCAGAAATAATTTCTCAGATAACAGCAAAGATTGTGCTGACAGTGCAAGAAATGATTAATAAATCTAGAGAGGAACTCAGGAACATGATGGAATCCCAATATAGGGAAACAAATGGAATCCATAAAAGAGATACAAACAGATTTCCAGATTAAAAACTCCACTGAAAGTACACAGCAGTATTAGCCAATGTGAGGACAGAATTTCAGATATAGAAGATAAGATTGCAATTAGTGACCAGGAAAAAAAAAATTGCTTAAAATTGCAAGGGACCACGAGGAATCAATCCAGCAGCTGCTAGACGATGCAAAGAAGAATAACATAAGACTGATTAGAGTCAATGAAGGAACAGGAGAGAGTTCAGATGACATAAAAAAACTGTTCACAGAAGTGATGGCAGAAAACTTCCCAAGC